GGAGAATAAACCTAGTTAGATCATTCTGCATTAGGATTACTTTCCATGAGATGAGCAGCTATGTAAACTTTATTATGAGATAAGAAATCAATAAAATTTAAGACCTGTTGTAGATCAGTTAGTACAATGGTATATGAGAATGATCTTGGGAAACAGGAGGAAGATTGCAGACTAGACAATGGTCAGATAAAAGGCAGCTGAGCCCACAGAATAAATGGAGGGGGTGATAAATGTCTTAGAAAGGGCTTTTCCTAGTTTTCTGGACTGTAAAGGCGAATTAGGGAGAGAGATACTTTCAGACTTTCAAGATCTATCCTCACTACAGGGAGTTCTTGACTTACAACCATTAGTGGCCATTCAAAGTTACAACTGTGTTAAAAAAAAGTGACCTGTGACCATTTTTCATATTTTTGACCATTGCAGCATGCCCATGGTCATATGGAATTAGGAGTCTAGCAGCATCTACCAGCAATGAAAACAATGGATTTCCAACACATTCCAATTTTAATTGTGCATCATGCCCTGCCATATACATTGGACTGACCAATAAAAGAATAACTACCCGACTGGATGAACACAAAAATGCAGTAAAAAAGCTAGAACACGCTTCCTCACTAGTCCAACACATGAAAGCCCCAGGTCATAGCATCGACTTCAATGGCACCAAAACCCTAGCCACTATAGAAAACCCCAGCCACAGAATTATCAGAGAAGCCATAGAGATTGAAAAAAGACCTAAAAGCATGAATAGAAGAGATGACTCCACCAGACCATCAATTATCTGAAAGCCTGCATTCACAAAAAAAAAATCTCCACTCCACAAGCCAGGCACAAACAGATCCCCCCTGATACCTCCAGCTCAAACAAACCCCAACCAGGCACCCAAATGAAACCTAACTTCCTAATAAATGATAGCCGTCCATTTACTTGAAGCCAAGCCGCACTAAAAGCCTCCAATACAGGAAACACAATGTTGCCAGCCAATCAAGACAAAAAAAAATGCTACAAAACAGACAGAAGATATTAGGAACACCAATCAAGCAGAACACAGCAAACTTCAAGACCAATAAACACAGTCCAAGTCTCCCAACCAATCAGGATGAAGAAAAAACCATTCTAACACATCAGTAGGCTAGCATGAAATTTAAAACAGAAACAGCTGCGAAAGTCTGACTCACAGACCAACACAATACACATGCCTGATGATGGCAGATGAGATTCTGCCGAAACGTCAACTTTAAAAGCACAACTATAATGACATGGGAAAATACCCAAACAAAGCTGAATACCATACATACATACATACATACATACATACTTACATACATACACACACACACACACACACACACACACATACATGTGTGTGTGTGTGTTTTCTTATGCTTTCGTGGGTATTTATATGTATGGTATTTAGGTTTCTTCGGGTATTTTCCCATGTCTTAATATTTGCTTTTATGATAGCAGTTTTGGCAGAATCTCATCTGCCATCCTCAGGCTTGTGTATTGGGTTCTTTTTAATCTTGTGTTTCAGGCTATATATATATATATTCCCCCCAGGTCCTTTTTTCTCCTAATAGTTTAATAACTGTTAAAAATCCCTAAACCAGCTGCCTTCCATAGCTTCCAGTCAATTCCTGCACTGATAAAGAAACCTCACGTCACTTAAACCTAATGAAGTCAGTTCCTCCCATTGATTTCTAAGGAAGAAAATCCTTTAAAAGAAAAGTTGAAGTGAGGCAACGTTTCTCTACCTGCCTATCAAATCTTAAAGCCGAAGTAATGAGATCACTCTGTGAGCAAACTATAAACCCCTTAACTTTATTTTCCGCTCTTGATAATATATCCTTTAAAATGAAAGTCAGATGAATTATTTTGGCAAATAATAATAACAACAGTAATTTTCAGTTATGGCTACCAAATCTAATAAATTCAGATAATCAGTAGGTCACAACAAAGAAGTAGGGTTCTTTGCTCTTTTTGCTATCTTTTAGATTTTTTGAAGTCCGGATCTGATTGCCTACATGCAAGGAAAATAATAAAACGTCTTACCCCATATCCCTATTTATACAGGGACATGGTGGCTCAGTGGCTAAAATGCTGACCTTCTTGATCAGAAAGGTTGGCAGTTCAGCGGTTTGAATCCCTAGCACCGTGTAATGGAGTGAGCTCCCGTTACTTGTCCCAGCTTCTGCCAACTTAGCAGTTTGAAAGCATGTAGAAAAATAGAGACCCCCTTTTGTGGGAAGGTAACAGCATTCCATATGCCTTTGGCATTTAGTCATGCCAGCCACATGACCATGGAGATGTCTTTGTACAGCACTGGCTTTTTGGCTTTGTACCAGAGATGAGCAGTGCCCCGTAGAGCGGGAAACGACTAGCACGCATGTGTGAGGGGAACCTTTACCTTTTATTCCTATTTATGCACTAGTATCCCTTCCATTTCCTTTTCTTCTGTACTTCCTACATTTAATTCTAAGCACCATAAGGCATTCTGAACTTTTCTTCATTGTTGTCCTAATCCTGTTAGTTTTATCAGTATGAAGGTAAGAATCAATCATGCAGATATCCCTTGACTAATGACTTAGCGATTGTTTGATATTACAAACTACCTGAAAAAGGAGACTTATGACCTGGATCCAACATTCTGACCATTGCACTCCCACACAAAGCTCAACAACAAGGCAATCATAGGCACTTGCAGAGTCCCATAGTTATGTCACTGCTTTTTATGACATTTCTGCTGAAAACTAGCACTTCTTCTGGCAAAAGCTAAACAATACCTTATAGCAAATGATAAACAATAGCACATTTAACAACCCTGGGGTTATGCACTTATGATTGTGCTATTTGCACTTAATGACCTGCAAAAATGTCTTATGTTTAATGACCATTATGATTTAGAACAGTAATGGGCAGGTTCCGTTACAGTCAGAATTTGAGGATTATCTGTATTGCTAAGGATAGCAAATCCTATAGTAGTAAAATTTATGATGTACCAAGCTATTCTTTACTGGTTCCTTCTAAGATATGTGATACGATTCCTACAATTGGCACAGCAAACAGGTAATGTTTGGGAATTATGGGGGCATAACCCCACATATTTGAAATTTATTAGATCGGGTAAGGCTGCACAACATTACTTACCGGTACTTTAGGAGTGCTTGCAACTGCTAGCACGAGTAGCAGCAGTTATAAGCACTTTCAGAGCTGATAACACTTCAAGACCTGAGTGTGCTAAAGCAAACAGTAAATTATGCCAAACACTGTTCTGAGGGGTGTGGGGGAAAGTGTTGAAATTAATCTCATTTAGGATTTTTGCACATCTGGAGTCAGCAATTTAGGTCTTCTACGAGGATTTCTCTTTTGTGTGTTGCTGTTATCAAGGTCAGGGATTTTCAAAGTTTTTCAGGCAATTGAACTTGTTACTTTTCAAAAAAATAATAATAATTCCCAGAGCCCTTTTTTGCAAGTTGCAAAGATCTCACAATAGGAAATCAGCAATATAGGAAACAGGTGCCAATTGCTGTCTGTCTGTAATGAGAAGGCTGATTGGGAATCGCCCACGCAAGAAGGAAGCCCGGTGTCTGCCTAAAACCATCCATTTGGCTTTGCTCCAGGGAAAGGGAGGAAGGCAGAGCTTTTATTTATTTATTTTATTTAGCATGCGGCATCTAACGGAGGTCAGGCAGTCACTGATATACAAACATAAGTTTAAATGAAACATCATCAAATAAATACACATATACAGTACAGGGATGCAATGGTTCAGTGGTTAAAGATGCTGAGCTTGTCAGCTGGAGAGCTGACAGCCTGGGTTTGAGACCCGAGCTCTGTGCAATGGAGTGAGCTCCCATTACTTGCCCCAGCTCCTGCCCGCCAAGCAGTTGAAAAACACATGAATGTGAGCAGATAAATAGGTACCACTTTGGTGAGAGCATTCCGTGAGCCTTTGGCATATAGTCATGCTGGCCTCATGACCACAGAAGTGTCTTTGGATATGCTGGCTCCCTTGGCCAAGAAACTCTGTTATTCCATGTTCTATGTTCCTTCTGGTTTGGCTGTGGTGAGATCATCCCAGGTGCCTTGAAATTTCCAGAGGAGACATTCTTAAACTATGTATGGTATAGTTTGTTCTGACAATTAGCTGAGAAAGACTGATCTTATTCATCCAAGCCTAAGTTGCCACATCTTTCTATAGTTATATATTTGGATAGAAATCCAGGATAGCATCCCAGGTTTGTTTTCCCACAATTCTTGACATGTATGAAGGTACCCTTGAGAAATTTAACAAAATAGGGAAAGAATGAAAGATGTGGCTTCTATAATCCTGCCCTCTTCCAACCCTTTTACTAATAGTAGCTATAGGAAATATCTGTCTATTCTTTTAATGAAACAATGCATTGTTCTTGTGCGATTATTATGCACTGGGAAGTGGTGGGCAGAACTGTGATTGGAAAAGAAGAAGGCTTAAAACAGACCAACATTCCAAGTTCCTGCATTGGGGAATTCTTTTTTTCTAGGATGTTACTTTCCACAGCCACATCTGGACCATGTCCAAACTCAGTCTTCTCCCTTTTAGCTTCCTCCACCAACAAATCTTGTCCCATTCTGTTTTTGAAATTATCCTGGTGGACACCCAAAACCCCACAATCTTTGCACAATTCCCTTCCAATATTCTGCGGGCAGCAGTGGGATTCAAATATTGTTACCACCGGTTTGGTGGGTATGGCTTGGTGGTTGTTCTTTGCACGTGTGCACACACTTTGTGCAGACACAGAGGTGTTTTAACTCACCTCCTGCAAGCCTGCATGATCTCCCGGTCACTTCAGCAGCTGCCGCGTGGCCCTCTGCTATGCCATGCAAAGCAGCTGTGCTTCAAATTCAGAGGATAAAGGTGAGTATGGGAGCCCAGGCGGGCGGGTGGGCCCAACAGCAGAGCCAGCAGAGAGAACTGGTTCAGTCTCCGCTGCTCATTGCTGCTACCGGCTCGGCAGAACCGGGCCAAACCGAACGAATACCACCACTGTCTGTGGGTTTGAAAGAATAACAAAGGAACTAGCAGGTTGAAGACCATCACTTTCCCAGTAAGCTACTTAATTTTTTTCAAATAGACAGAATGCATTTTTCATTGTTTATCATTAGCAGAAAAAGCTCAATAAAACTAGAGTTAAGCAGAGCCACTTTCAAGCCTTAGCGGTCATAGAGATGTCAGGTGGAGTGCTGAACACATTCTCCCGCTAAAATCAATGAAGGTAAGAAATCCAATTGCTGTCTAAACTCCCAATTATGAATGGAATTGGAAACAGCTCTGTAAACTGTGCATCAGGGTTTTTTTTTTTACTTACCTAAGCTGTCTAACTCTACTGTATTTGTATATAAAACAATCCTGTTGATGAAAAACTCAACATTTCCCATTGCAACAGTTGATTTTTCTGACCTACTTTTATTCTCGTTGAAAAACATGTGGCCAAGTTACAAGTAATTGTGATATACCTCATAATCAGCTGAATCATATTTTATTCAGCAGGTATAAATCATTACATATAGTGGAGCTAACTGATTGCTGCTTGCTTCCTGCAGTACATACATTTTTTTAAAAAATCACAATATAGCGGCTAAATCAGGAATATGAGAATGGCCAGGAACAGTTTGGTGAACTGGTTGTTGGAAGAAATCATTAGGGCAGAGAACTGGTTGTTAAATTATTTGAATCCCACCACTAATGTTAACCTATCTAACCATTTATTTTATGATGTGTGAATTCTTCTCCAGAAAATAGTCACTAAACCAAAGCCAGAACTAGCAATGAAGTTGCTATGGTATTTTTCTGTGATAAGGCTGTGCAATGCACCAATACTGAATGTCATAGGCTAGTATTGTAACAGATCTTTATATCAAGAACAATTATGGAAATCGGGGCACTAATGAAGGAGTATTGACTATTATTTTTTAATTAAGCCATGATAAAAGATGGGAACATGACAGTGCAACAAGCTAGGCAGAAGTTTATAATAACAAAAATATAAAGCTTCCAACCAATATAGTACTGTGGTTTATTGTCATGTAAATGGGGAAGAGAAAGCGTAAAAAAACCAAAGAAAAATACAGTAAGAAGAACTAGTGATAAAGGAGGAGTTCGCTGTAGGCCAGTTCATATTTTTATTTCATTATTAGCACTTGTATACATTATTGATGTTAATATACAAATTCCCCAAGAGAGAACAGGAATCAGTGAATTCATTACATAAATAAAATTCCATAAGATTGCATATACTTTTGTAAAAACTGTAACAAAAACAGCACTGTGAATATTTTGTGCATAAATATATTTCTAAAAACAATCATTGTATAATATGAAAATTTAAAAGCACTATAATAAAAAAAATTGTACAGGTAGTTTTCAACTTCGAACAGTTCATTTAGTTATTCTTAGAAGTTACAACAGTGAAAGAAGTGACTTATGATTATTTTTCAGACTGATGACCATTGAAACATCCCCGTGGTCACATGATCAAAATTCAGGCACTTGGCAGTTGGTTCTTATTTATGATGGTTGCAGTGTCTCAGGGTTATATGATCCCTTTTGTGATCTTCTGACAAGCAAAATCAAGGGAGAAGCCAGATTCACTTAACAACCATGCTACTAGTTTAAAACTGTGGTGATTTACTTAACAACCATGGCATGAAATGTTATAAAATGAAGCAAAATTCATTTAACAACTGTTTCACTTAGCAGCAGAAATTGCACACATAAATCGAAGATTACCTGTATTATTAGGCCAACCCAACATTAAAAATAGAAGATTTTTAAAAATTCAAGGATTGTATAACTAACTTTTTTCCTTCCAACATTTTACCAGTTGCCTCTATTGCAATCTGAACTGTAAAATTATCGGTCTAAGCTGCTGCAGAAAAACATATTTGAAAAGATTTATCTCATAAATTATTATGACTTGAACTAATATTCCTGTGGCTACATTTAATGAAACATTTACTAAGCTACATTTACTAAACATTTACTAAACATTTACTAAGCTACATCTACTGGCTACATTTAATGAAACATTTACTAAGATAAAGCATGCATGCAGTATAGTGCAATGTAGATAAACCGGTGTTTTGCTTTAAAATAGACAAACTGACAAAAAAGAAATGCAAAACCATAATGCATTCAAAAAAACGATCAAAATAGTTGCAATGCCTGTATACACAGAAGAATCATTTTTCAACAGAGAATTATAAAGCATATTTAGAAGCTGAGCTCACTCTTCATTCAGGTCATGATTAATTAGCATGTATAATAAATGAATTTACAATTTAAATTTATAAAAGAATGCATAAAATTACAATATATATTGCTTTAAAGGTTGCACATATTTTAAATGGTTACACATCACTTCAAAGAGGGTGGCTACACAAAAATGACAATTCTGATCTTCTATTAAATACATATATGGTACAGAAGACACAACGACGACAGCAAAACACGACTAATGGTTTCTTCCAAGCAAAAAATATGCTTTTTTAAAAAGTCTGACAATCGTTTGCATTGTTTCTATTTTCAACCTTCATTCTTTCCTTAGAAAAGGAAGTTCCACTAATTAAATCGTAACTTTAGAACTTTGGGGTACCTTCATTAATGGGTTCGTATCGATTAATGAGCGAAACAGCCCTTCCTTCATTCGCATTAAGCTCAAATTGCTCCTTTCTGAGAAATTCAGCTAGATTTGATGGTGATAGAACTTTTTTGTTTGCCGAGTAGCTGCTGAAAAGTTCAATCAGTTCTGGTCTGTGAAGAAGCATTCGGTATATTGCTCTGAAATCTTCCATGGTAATAAGTCCAGACTTCTGTTTGTCATTTTTCTACCAAAAGGGGAAAAAAAAAAAGATTAGTCAAAACCTGGCTCCAAAACAGTAATTGTGAGAGGAACCTTGGAGTCTTAGTGGACAATCACTTAAATATGAGCCAGCAGTGTGTGACGGCAGCCCACCCAAAAGCTACCATGTTTCTCATATAATAAGGCTGGGTCTAATTTTTTTTTTTACCCCCCAAAAACATCTAGGACATCTTTTCGGGGGTGAATTAATTTCTCCTCCCCCCCCACGCACCCTCTCCTAGAGCGCCCCGCGGGCAGCCATGCCTCGCCACCAGCCACTCTTAACGACCAATCGTGGTGGAGCGCAGAGGGCTCTCTACCCCTGCCAAGCGCGTTTGCTAAAGACCCGGGTCAGTGGGCAGGTGGCGGCGGCGTGGATGTCTGCCGGCAGTGTTTCAGCCGCTTCTCGGGCCTCCGTAACTTCTACAGTTCTCGCCGGCAGGAAGTGAACTCTGGGAAAGGGGTGTCTTTTATTTGAAAATAAGCCATTATAGGTAGTCCTCAACTTACAACAGTTCATTTAGTAACCATCCAGAATTACAATGGTACTGAAAAAAGGGATTTGTGATCATTTTTCATACTTATGACTGTTGTAGTATTCCCCATGAGCAAAATTAAGATGCTTAGCAATTGATTCATATCTATAATGGGCTCATATGATCCCTTTTTGTGACCTTCTAACAAGCAAAGTCAATGGGGAAGCCAGATTCACTAACGACTGTGTGACTAGCTTAACAATTGCAGTGATTCACTTAACAACTGTGAAAGGTCATAAAGTGGAGCAAAACTCACTTACCCATTGTGTTGCTTAACAAAGGGAATTTGGGCTTAACTGTGGTCATAAGTCAAGGACTACCTCTAATCTGATGGCAAGCCTAAATATGCAAGAAAGCAGGAGAGAACTGGTATGATTAGGACTGAAATACATTCAAACTCATAGCAATACTACTGTATTTCTCTGAAAATAATTTCAGAGGGTCTTATATTATTTTTTTTCTCCAAAGGACACACATTAGGCTTATTTTCCGGTTAGGTCTTATTTTCAGAGAATTGCAGTATTAAATGCATTCGTCTGACTGACGACCTTAACAGGGGCATAGTTTGGGAATAAGGCTTATATTATGAGTATCCTAAAATCATGCTAGGTCTTATTTTCTGGTTAAGTCTTATTTTGGGGGAAACACGGTATGATCTTCATTTATCTCATACAGCTGAAAAACACACAGAATTATGCTACTCTACAGGTAGTCCTCAACTTACAAACATTACTTTAGCAACCATTCAAAGTTACAAAGGCACTTTAAAAAGGGATGCATGACCATCTTTGAACTTACAACCATCACAGCCTCCTCATGATCACATGATCAAAATTCAGGCGCTTGGCAACTAGCATGTCTTTATGACAGTTTCAGGTCATGTGATCACTATCTGTGACCTTCCCAGCCAGCTTCTTTCTAGCCAATCAATAGGAGAAGCTGAATTTGCTTAATTCGTGCATGATTCATTTAACAATTGCAACGATTCACTTAACAACTGTGGGAAAAAACATTGTAAATTGGATGTAACTCATTTAACAGCTGCCTTGCTTGGCAACAGAAGCTCTGTTCTCAATTGTAGTTGTAACTCAAGGACTACCTGTAATGAAGATTTAATTTGATTTTATCTGAAACCTATCAAAGACAGCCATTTGCACTATTTCCTTTTTCTTTTCTCCCATGCTGGCTTAATACCAACAGAAAATATAGAACTTGCTCAAGTCTATCGTTTAATGTATATAATTTTCCCAGACCCAGATAAGACATTCCTGAATCAGGACTTGCCTTGATTAAGAATACATTCAATGAATTAATTTTTCAAGGGGTGGAGGACAGGAAGAGAGGGAAAGATGTAATGGAAAAACAAATTACAGCGTAATTCTATGTCAGTAATAAAAGATTGATTGATTGACACACTGAAAAGAAGTTGACACAGTACAATTGCATCGAACCATATTTCAAATGGAACATAAAAGCTCCTCTGAACAAATGCAACGAATAGTAAACAAGAACATTACCTATCAATAATCAGAGCTACTTTGGTATAGCGGTTTAGATGCCAGGCTAAAAACCAGGAAACCAGGAGTTCTAGTCCTACCTTAGTTATAAAAGCCAGTTGGGTGACTTTGGGCCAGTCACTCTCTCTCTCTCAGCCCAACTCATCTCATAGTGTTGTTGTTTTGGGGAATATAGGAGCAGAAAGGAGCATTAGGTTCCCTGTTTTAAGTTATTTATAAAAGTAATAAAGGTGGGATATCTAAAAACATGTATTTCCATATTAAAAGAAAACTTTAATCTAGACATTTGCCCATTCAACATCTGAGAAAATGGCTTTGATCATATTTTTGCAACACATTTTTTTAAATATATATATATATATATTTCCTCACCTTAAAAACTTTTTTTACATGAACATAATCGTAAGAGACTTCAAACTTGTTGAGCAGCTTTAAGGTCTTATCTATGTTGATCTTGCCTTCTCTAAATTCATCAAAAATCATGTCCATGAACCATGTATAGAAAAGTGAGTTAAGGGAACTCTCAACAACATTGACACTCTTCATCCAGAAAATATCAAGGACACTGACAATCTTCATTCAGAAAACGATATAAGAGACAATCCTATGACTTTTAATATTAAGATTTCAATGACCCAATCCATTTATATTACTTACATTCATCTTTTTCAGGGGTGTCAAACTCAAGGCCTGTGGGCTGGATGAATGTGGCCCACAGGGTGCTTAGATCCCCGAAAACTTCCAAGGACCAGCCCATGGTGGCTCTACCAGCAAAAATGGAGCTCAGGAGGGCCACGTGCAGCTCCCCCCGAACTCCATTTTCATTGGCAGAGGGCTGCAGGAGGCCATCGCAGCTGAAAATGGCGCCTAGGAGGGCTGTCCCCCAAGCTCTGTTTTTCTGTTTTTCTGAGCACTAGCAGAAAAAACTACTAGCAATAGTGGATCCACTCCAGCCCTGCCCAGGCCACCACAGGTGCCCCTGACATGAGTGATGTCAAGCTAGACATACCCCCTCAGCCCCCCCCCCCCGACAAATACAAACCTGATGCAGCCCTCAATGAAATCAAGTTTGACATTCCTGATCTATTTCATTTAGACTCAACTTTAGAAGGCTGAAATAACTTTGTACGGTAATGTTCTAATAATGTTCTTCATTACAATAGGAGGGGAGTTTCCCTCCATGGAAAAACAACTTCCCCGTCTTCTTTGGGTCTTCTATGGGGGGGAAATAATCATAATTCCCCTATATTAAGTGTAAAAAGAGCCAGTTTGGTCAAGTGGTTAAGCGCTTGCCTAAAAATCAAGAAACTAGTCCTATTTTAAGCATGAAAATCTACCGGGTGTCTTTAAGTCATTCACTCTCTCTCAGCCCAACCTACCCCACAAGGTTGTTGTGAGGAAAATAGGAGGAGGAAGGACTATTGGGTATGTTCGTCACCTTGAGTTACTTATAAAATAATAAAGACAGGATAAAGATCTAATAAATAAATAGTAAGTAATATGTTACATTTATATGTTGCCCAACTCCTAGTGACTCCCAGTTTAGGCATACGAACCAAATGTACACTTAGGGATACCCGTAAACTGCCATTAAATTCAGATGAAGTGTTTCTTGTTGCAAAGAGTTCACACAATAAACAAAAACTGAGAATCCTCAACAAAAGAATTAAATGGATATTTGTATAGAGAAAATGCTGTTTCCTTATAGTGCAGGGCCCAGCTTTGCCCTTCTTAATATACTGCCCATTAAGAAAAAGCCCTCTAACAGCAAACATATGATTATTCATTCATTTATTCCTTTTGTATCACGCTGGGATCTAAGTTTATAAGTTATGAAAAACATTAAAGCACCCACAGTAAATATTAAAAGTCAGAGTAAAAACAATTAAAAACACATTAAAAATTGTAAATGGGCAGAAATAAGATAAATAAGAGGTACAAAGATAACCCAAACTAACTAGTTGGAAACACTTTGGGAGTTGTTCTCTGCATCCTCCAAAATGACATCAGGGAAAGGGCCAGTCTGATCTCGATTAAAAGATAATTCGAGATGGCCACTGCTGACCTGGATTCCTTTTCCTTCCTAATTAGGTCAACTGGAATAGTATGTTTATCTGAATGAGGGTTTCAAAGTCCATGCAATATTAAATTACTCTCCTAGAAAAGTTTAGTTTACTTTATTCTCATTGCACCTCATACAACGAAATTAAATGCCATCTTCAGTGAACATTATGACTATGAAAATAAACACAAATCCTTCACATTCTATACATTGAATTGAAACCCCCCTGATATTGCATTAATATTGCACTATACAGTAGAATTAATAGAGTTACTGCCCTGGGATAGAAGCTGTTTTTCAGCCTATTTGTCCTTGTTATTATCCTGTACCATCTGCCAGATGGTAACAGTTCAAAAAAAGGGTTCCCAGGATGAGATGGATCTTTGAGAATGTTTTGCACTTTCTTAAGTCAGCGGGAGCTATAAAGCTCTTCCAAAGAGAGGAGTGGGCAACCAACGATCAATGACGTTAACCCTCTGGAGTGCTTTCCTATCTGCCCCTGTGCAATTGGCAAACCATACAGAGGTGAAGTAAGTTAAGATACTCTCTATGGTGCAGCGATAGAAGGTCACTAGCAGTTTTTCATTCAGTTGTTGTTTTCTGAGAAGTCTCAGGTAGTGTCATCTCTGCTGAGCCCTTTTGACCATGGCTGCAATGTGGGCACCACAGGTCAGGTCCTCTTTTAGGGTAACACCCTGAAACTTAAAACTGACCACTTGTTCCACTCGGTCTCCATTGATAAGCAAGGGCTGGATGTCTGATCTGTTCCTTCTATAGTCCACTATAAGCTCCTTGGTCTTATTGGGGTTGAGGACCAAGTTATTGTTTCCACACTACGAAAGCAACCAGTCCACCTCATCTTGATAGGCAGACTCATCCCCCCCCCGGAGATGTGTCCCACCACCATTGTATCATCTGCAAATTTAAAGCAGGAAAGATTAAGAGTTTCCAATAAACAGAGATACGTGAACCTGGGAGATAGTCGCCTCCAAATATTCTATTTGCTGCTACTTCCTTTTCACAGGGATACAGATGAAGTCCTTGACTTACAACCACAACTGACCCCAAAATTGCTAGGCGAGACATTTGTTAAGTGAATTTTATGGCCTTTCTTGCCACAGCCGTTAAGTTGAATCGCTGCAGTTGTTATATTGGTTGTTCAGTGAATCTGGCTTCCCCATTGACTTTGCTTGTCAGGAGATCACAAAAGGGGATTTCATGTCCCCAGGATGTTGCAACCATCATAAATACAAGCCAGTTGCCAAGACTCTGGATTTTGATCACCTGACCCCATGAGGATGCTGCAATGGTCGTATGTGTGAAAAACAGTCATAAGTCACTATTTTCAGGGCTGTGGTAAATTTGAACAGTCACTAAATAAATGGTTGTAAGTCAAGGACTATCTGTATGTACCTGAATGTGAACTGGATGTTTATTTATTTTTTCAAATAAATTTTTATTATTTTCCACCAGTACAAATCTTAATTACATTTTCAACAGCATTTGCATCAACATTTAGTGTTATTTTACATTTCCATCACCTATTTGTACATAACATTAATAAATATTATCTTTATTTATATTTACTATATTGTCCATCTTTATCCATTTTATCTATCTATATCTATGTATCACTCTCTTGAGAATTCTCCTATATAATCATCTTTTTCAATTCTTATCTCTCTTTTCTAGCCACATGTGCCATCTATGTTAAACTGAATAATATTCAGATTCTTCTTTTTCTTTTATTTTTAGTGTGAGCATATCCATTTTTCCACAGTCGGCTATTTTTTGCAAAATTAATTCTTCTGTTGGGACCATATGCTCTTTCCACATTTGCACATAGGCTATCAGTATGCACTGTCAGTATGTGCAACATTAAATATTTTATCTTTTTTCAGATATTGCTTTTGAATTATCCCCAGTAAGTAGAGTTCCATGAACTGGATGTTTCTACGACTGATAGAACCACCGACTTTTCCATCCATAAGGCACTCAAGTTTGCTTGGGAATGAGTGCCTTGTGGATTTGGGAAGGAAAGATCCTCAGTGTGAAGGAACCAAAGAACAAAGGTATGTTCTTAGCTGTAGGTTTTTGGAGAAAAGGTTAAGATAGATCTTTTTCTTTGTAAGGACTTAGTTACAAAGAGCCCTGGTTCCGGATCCTTTCTTCCCGACCGTTAGAATTAATAATCAGTGGAATGATTAACTTCCAGAAGTTGTAACAGCTCCAACACTGGAAGTTTTAAAGAAGAGATTGGACAGCCCTTTGTCTGAAATGGTTATAGGGTTTCCTCCGTGAGCAGGGGGTTGGACTAGAAGACCTCCAAGGTCCCTTCCAACTCTTGTTATTCTGTTATTTAGGTTCACCTTCTAGTGACTAGATCAGTGTTTCCAAACTTTGCAAAGGCAGATGCATAGCTTTCAATTCCCGGAATTCCCTATTTTCCCAGGCCCTTTGCTGAGAATGATAAAATTGACCCAAGGTTGAGAAACATTGGATTAAATTCAGTGTTTCTCCACTTTAGCAACTTTAAAGTGGGTGGACTTCAACTCCCAGAATTCCCCAGCCAGCGTGCTTTAAAGTTAAAACTTTAAAGTTGCTAAGGCCGAGAAATAACCAGATCAGATAGATATATGCTTTCTTATTCTGGGCATATATTGTTTATATAAACTACACTATTTTATTCCCGTTCTCCCTAATCGTTGCACAAAATTACTTATAGATTTCTCAGATTCTCCCACCAGGACAGTTAGAAAACAAGAGGAAAAAACCCTACTGCTGTTAACACTACCGCTACCAACAGCTATCATCATCAAGGAAAAGGACACTGACTTTCCAAGAATACTTAGCATAGAATAACAGAGTTGGAAGGGACCTTGTAGGTCATCTAGTCCAACCCCCCTGCCCAAGCAAGGTAATCTTATACCATTTCTGACAGCTGGCAGTCCGGTTTCTTTCTTGGCGCCTGATGCCCACAAATAACTTGGTAGCCACCCAGGAATTCCTCGCCAATCCGATCACGTGCCAACCCGTTGAGGAAGCTGGAGAGCGGTGGTCCCTACTCAGCTTGGAGGGCGACGCTTTGGGGGAAGCGCCCTCCGGGGCTGCCCTCCTTCTCTCCCTCCCTCCCTTCTTCCCTCCTTCCGAGCCAAGGATATTTATTCTCCATGGTGCCGCCGTTGCCTCCTCCGCATGGCCCGAGCGCCTGTTCCTTACTGCGATGGTCTCAGCAGCTCCCAGCGCGCCGCCCGGCTCGCCCGCTCGCGGTTCTTCCCCGCGGCTCTTCTTGCCTCCTGCCCGCCTGGACGCGGCCAGTCGATAGCCGGCAGGGAGGCGACCCTCTATGGCGCCAGCGGGGAGACCGCGGGGCCTCCGAGACGTCACAACGGGCGGGCGAGGGGCTGCCCTCCCTTGCATTTTTTTT